AGGAGAGCTGAAAGTGGTTGTATCTCTGTCATTTCCTGTCAGATGAAACAAAGTGAAATCCATAGGAAACACCTTTCTCCTCTCTCTTCCTCATGAATAATGGACACAATACACACACACTAATGTTTTATGTGATTGTTTATTTAATCCATGTGAGCAACACTTTGTACAAATTCGGAGCGCGTGGATCTTCTGCATACGCTTACGATTCACTTTGTGTTGAGTAGTGTTCCGTGTGCCTTTTACTTATTTTCAATCAAAATTCAAGCATTGTCGTGTTTTTTTTACCCTTTTCAGGATTATTTTATTATATTTTTGAAAACCTGAGTAGAGCCAGGTTTTTTTTACTAAGGTACAGAAAACCAAAGTCCCTCAGATGTTTCCTTGTACGACCACCATGTGGAGTCAGCTTCTCTACCGTACCGCTTCTTGTTGGTCAATCAGTGTACGCCATATTAAAGTATTATAGCAATATCTCTCTAGTTGAATACTTAAAACATGGCAATTCTAGTGGTTGTGTTTCCAGGTATCATAATTTCACCACCTGCTGATAAAAACATCAATCTATTAATAGAAATTCAGTTTTATATTTACCTTCATTGGTGTTGACCGCACATAAGCTAACTTGCTGTTGAGATTAAAAAAAGTTTATTGAAATTTTTGACTTGTGTTTTTAATTATGCTTTTGATGTTACATTTTCTAAGTGTAAGATCACTTGAAAAAAGGAGGAGTTATGCATTTAAGCGCCATAGCCTTTATGTACAGTCACCACACATGACTCCATAGTGGATGAAGAAACATGTTAACAACATTTTGAACTACATGCCAAAGTGGAAGACTAGACTAAAGTCATAACATGTCCAATCATTCTTACCTTAATTTATGGAAGTCTTTGCTGATTTCTCAGATTTATCTGAGGATTACTAAAGTTGTTAACAATCTCTAGCAACTATGTGAAATATACACCCAGTTAGGAGTAGCTATCATTGTATTTGTCACTTAAAATGCTGACACGTTCAGTACAGCTTGTCCACATAGCGCAGCCTGCTCTGTGTAATCCAATTGTCCTGTAGGCAGTAAGTAGCAGCTACACCTGTCTGATCGCACCCCAGGGCTGTGCTGTGTGGGAGTGAGTTAATGGCCTGGAAAAATGATTCACAAGTGCTTCATATAAACTGTTGACTCATAGTTGAACAAGAAATCATTTGAAGCACCCATGGAGAACTGCCCAGCACGACCATCCTTTGTTGAACAATCATGTTTTGTTTCAATATAGGCTGGCCCTTTTCTGCAAACATGCACAACAACAAACAAAACAACAACAACAACAAAACACATTACTGAGGCAGAAGATAAAGTGGTCATATCTAAATATCAATTAAAGTGAAGTATTCTCACAAATAACTGCATAACTACATCATGTAGCACTTTTAATTATACCAGCTGTACGGGCTGCTACACAATTACCTCGTCTATAATTAGTAACACCACTAGAGCCAAACCACCTCAAGAATGCCAATCTTATCTTGTAAAACGAAACAAGGTTAATACTTGGATGGGAGACCGCTGGGAATACCAGGTGCAGCAGTGTGGTGGCATTCACAGTGCATATTGTCATTGTAGCTAAAGGCAAGACACTTCACCCTCCTTGCCTTGTTTGTGGTGTGAGTGACTGGTGGTGAGCAGAGGGTCAGATTAGCAGCCTCACTAACTACCATCAGGCCACCACAGGGCAGCTGGGGCTACAATCATACAGTTTGGAGTGAATTAATAATTGCAGAGTTAAGTGCATTGGGTTTCTTGAAAGGGTCTGTATAAATTAAATGTCTTGTTATAGTTACTATGATTATTTGGTTTATTTCAGTCACAGGTATATTCTAACATTATTCCAGAAACAGTATTACAATTATCAGGCCTATTCTTTATACCTCAATATCATATCATCTTGAAACCAGTTCACATTCACAAAAAATAGCAAAGGGAAACAAAGAATAGAGTAACAGCAACTTCTACCCACTTTGCATTTCAGAAGCTGACAAGACTTCTCATACATAAAAACTATATATTCTGCAATAAACTCAAATCTCTGAAGGAAAAATATAAACTAGAAGGTTTCTTCACAACTGCTTATGTGTCCTCATTATCCAAAACAGCAGACATTAGGCCAGACTCATCATCAACTGAAGCTGTTACTTTGACAAATGTGAAGGTCGGGTCTCTGAAGGTGCATGTTTCTGGTAGATTATAAGGCTGTTTGTTCTTCTAATTGTTCTGCACTAGTCCCTGGATAGACCTTTAAACAGTGTTCAGGTGAGGGCAGATTGGGGACCTTGTGCAATTATGTCTCAGCTCTCATGTATTTCTGGCCTTATAATGACAGACTACTTTCTTTTTTGCCTCTAACTACAAAACTTATCTGACAAAGGACTGGCAGTACAGTCCTTTTGCAGCAGTGGGTGACAAGGCTGATGCGACGGTGAAGGGCATTTGAAGGTCGAATCAAAATTTTTCACGAGGGGCACTGAAGGAGGTGTGTCTTGGCGGTTTGACGTTTGTTCCAGTTGTGCGAAAAGGATCATGTCGAGAGAAGACGTCAATCCAATCAGCCCACTCAGACAGAGAACAGCTAATCCTGCTAATACAGCGCGAAGGTGAGGGCAGGATGGAGGGGGCTCTGCTGCTGCACACGGGCTGGGTCCTGTCACAGCATACACAAGCACACATCCTGAATGACTAAGTGTAAAATTGGCTTAGAACTGTCTTTCTTAAACTTGTCACACCAAATAATACCTCAGAAAATTTGTAGCTTTCAAGAAATGGGGGCAAAAGTAGAACGAAACCAAACCAGATCTAAACCAGGACACTTGCATATTTGTGTCAGGTTATCTCCTCATCACTGGGCGGGGTCTTCTAAATACAAATCTTTTCTTGCCTACTTTAAAACGTGTAGTATTGTGTTGTAACGATTAGTAATCCTGGGTGGAGGCCAACTATTATTCTGAGCAAGTTACAGCATTACAGGGAGAAGGGTCTAATGCAGAGAAGAGGTTTGAATGAAAAGTATATTACTCTAGAAGCGCAGGTTTTGAAAACGCTCTGAATGGTCTGCTCCCATCATCAATAATATTTCACAACCATATTACACAAAAGGTGCTTCATGTCTTTTTAGAGCAGTTATTTATAGACCTGGTTTTGAAACCTCCTGAAGCCCTCCTTGTCACAGACACCCTTGGGGACATGACAAGATTGAAAAGAAAGAGCTGATACAAGGACAGACAGCGCTAATCATCTTTTCTATGGAGTAGAAAAAAGGATTAAAAAAAAGAATTACAATATCAGAGCCTATTCAAGTGATTGGGGGGCAAAGTATACTGTAATGACATCAATGGTCGCTATGGTAACGGGAGGAGAGCGGATGACAACATGGTACTGCAGAAGATCAGACAGAAAACTGCTCAGGATGAAACCAAAATGGGGTCGAGACGAATGTGCAAAATCTTTTAAAAATATTTTTCCCAAACAAGTTGCTCTGGCCAGGGACATGTCCATGAGCAGTGACGTACATGCAGTAGTTGTTTATGAAGATATAGCTTTAGAAACAATGGGAAATCTTACTACTGAAGGTCACACTGTACTTGTCAGTCCACTATTCATTTTGATTCACTGCTATAAAGCTTTGTGGTTGAACACATGGCGACCAGCAGATGGACAGACTCAGTAGTCCCAGTACTGTTGACCCAGTAGAGTGGAGTGGGGGAAAAAAAAAAACTCTTCAACCTGGAGGGCTGCCTTGATGTCACTGTCAGGGAATTGCTGCTTTCTTGAGTGATTTTCCTTGTCAATAAAGTGTGCTCCTACAGAAGGCAGAAAGACAATTTAATACGAACAAGCCCAGACAAGGTGAGTGAGGAGAAATGGTAGACTGATTCTTGTCATTTGTCACTCAGAGCGCCAATGACCTCACCATGTCTGTGAGAGCGTGTGTGTGTGTGTGTGTGTGTGTGCGCCTGTGCCTCTGTGTGTAGTGGGGACCTTTCATTATAGATGACAGAGTTCTGGGAGGCAGCTGCATTGACGTCACACTTCTCAGAGCTGTCAAGGACCGAGCTCACACCCTTTCTCTACTAGTACCACACACATTGGGCACGCTGCAAACTCCAAACAAGAAACGGTTTAAAATGGAATTAAAGCCAGAATAAGTCCTCATGGCTAAGACAGCAAGGTTTAATGACTTTGGGTTTATTCTGGTAAGATTTGACCTTATTTCCAAAAACAAAGATGAACTGGTGAAATTGCCAGAGCTGAGATGAGCCTAATTATTACAAATATTTGTTTTACTACATTGCAATGAAGCAATGAGGTGAAAGCAGGACATAGCTAAATAAATAAAACATTCAAATATAAAATTGGCAAAATAATTCATGCTGAGACAGATCAGACAATCTATGCCACTCTATTGGTACCCAGTTTGCATGTGATCATGTTATTTGATCTAACCAGTGTTTTGCAAGATTGCACAACTGAACTCACATTATCAAGTAGTCACATTTACTTTGTGGGTAAATGATCAACCCACGCTCAAAAATGTCATAAAACCGTAATAGCACAGTAAAAATTGTTATGCAGACCAGACTACTAACAGAATACAAGCGTCCATTTTGTACTCAGCCCTTATTTTGAAGTGCTCTTCTCCACAGCAGTAGTTGGGGCGAGGAGGGGCAGGTGTCAGCAGCAGACCCATCCCTGCTCACAGTGGTTCCCTTCGGCCAAAACAGACCTTAAGACCCCAGCTTTCATCTGCACAGCTGCCTAGGTGGGCCCCAAATAACACAGTAAAGACAATATTGTGCAGTGGGTTATGAACAGGCTAGACTTGAAAAGAAAACTAAATGTAGGATTCAATATCAATCATAACAAAAACAAATTCTTGAAAAACTGAACATACAGGAAGGGGCCTTGGAAGAAGGTTAACGCTCTAACCAGTAATAAGACCATAGGCTTGTCTTTTCCGTTATGTTACTTTATTCAGATCAAGATACAGTAGTACAGCATCCCAACTGTGGAGAGAATTCAAAATAAAAATGAAAGCACAGTTTGTGATACAGGAGGACAATCAACGATCAAGGTTTACTCTACAAATGAGGGAGGGTGCAGAAAAATCAACAGTCCGATTAGACCAGACGGAAACAAGGAGTCCATTTTTCAACACAGATCATACATTTACTCAGCCCACTTCTGACCGCCTCAACTCTGACCCCCACAATAAAATATTATGCATCCTTACATACACAAGCCCACGCCCATCCCACAGTCATGCACTATTCTCCATTGTAAAGGGCCAGTCACCGACGTACAGAGAAGAATGTGGCAATAATGTGAGGTTGTAAGCGAAGGACTAGAGCAGTGGCAAGGTTTTGTTGTGCCTTTGGGCCCTAAAGCTGTTATCATTGTTTACTATAGCCTGCCAAAGGTCTTGTGGCCCTTGTATGGGCACAGTCTGGTTATTTACTGAACAGGACAGGAAACGGGTAGGTGTATATTTAGAGAAAATGCAAGGTTATCAAACTCATTGGCACAGGAGTTAGCAGAAATGGCAAAAAACGCAAAAAAGCCTAGTCTAGCCTTTTGTTTTGAATGGCCAATTTATTACAAAAGCCTAAATAAATGAATTTGTTTCTTTACAGGAATATTCCAAAGGGGTTCTATACATAAAACAATGCCAACACCGTTATAATTTGTAACATGCAAATTAAAGCTGATCTGATTGCATGCAGTCATAATAAACCTTTTTGAGTACGTAACTAAACTACTATGAATTTGGTCTGGCAGAGGCCAATCACCAAGACTAGACAACTTCACTGCAGCGTTTCTGGCCAAAGAGAGCATCGAGGAGGATTTCAAAGGCTTGACAAAAAACAGCTTGTTGCACCATCTGCTGCTCAGAGCTGGTGTCTAGCGCTGGGAGAAGCTAGCAAACATGGACGCGGTACGCTGCAAAGACCGCAGCTAAAGTACAACAGTGGCAAGGGTGTCAAAGGGAGGAATGTGAGAGGGGTCCGATTAGCGATGCCTAGCTAGCAGAGCAGCAGCACATTAGTCAGCATGCACCACTTAATGCAGTTTCATCACACTTTGCCAGTTGAAAAAGCGGCCATTTACAGCGAAAAGGAAGATTTACAAAGAGGCCTGAACATGGACTAGCATGGACAGTAAAAAAAAAAAGAGAAAAGAATAAAACAATTGTTAACAGCTTTCTCTATACATAACCAGTTGTTCCTGAACATCAATAAATATCTTGTAAAAGTGTTTACGTTGTTTGTTGATGGGGGGGGGCGTCTGGTTTATTCGTGGTGAGGTGGATATGATAGGGCCAGAACTGCAGAGAGAATTTTATATTAGTTTTAAATCATAAATATTTAACAGTCATGAACCATTTTGAAAACACTCACCACTGAGGGCCTCTTGGGCAAAGTATTTGACGTCCATATCTTTGTCTGTGGACAGCTTATCCAGCACTGGCTTCACTTGGGTCTGAAGCGTACTGAAACAAATAAAACATTAATGTGATTTTTAACACTGTATCTGAAGAGAAAAGCTCAAGAAAAATCCAGAAGAACTTACTGGCTGTCAAGAACAGGGCCGATCTTCTGGAGAGACTTGGCCACATTGAAGCGCACATTGGCCACTTGGTCATCAGACATCTTCATCACCACGGGCAGCATGTGTTTAGTGGTGATATCCTGTCCACACACCTCGGACAGAGCCTGTAAACACATAAGTATGGAGTCTTACGGGTTTCAAAAGGGGACCAGCAGAGGGGAAGAGGGGAGGCTGTGGACTCACGTTGATGCAGAACAGAGTGGTCATCCTGTGCAGGTAGTTGGGGTCATTGGCCATTCCTAAGACTTTGGGGACGATGGTGTTCTGGGCCCACTCCGCTCCAAATTTCTCCACCAGTTTCATGAGGTTGCAGGTGGCCGCCTCACGGATGGCATACACTGAAAATGAACATGTTTGTAATGTCAGGCTAGTATAAAAAAAGAGATTTGACTTTCTTCATCCACAGTTATAAATTTATAGTTCATTAAAAGTTTACCATTGTTGCCATATGTGCAAAACTGAACTATTAGGTAACACTGATTTATAAAATTGGCAACAGTTCACAAGGGAGCACTACTCAGGAAAAAAACCCTTGAGCTTGGTGGAAAAATTGTCATATGAGGAGATTAACATTGTGATAGTATCGGGGATCACACTGTGGGCTGTGTGGTGTAGACAGGCCTTATATAATGTGGCACAGGCCTAACCCCCAGTAAACCACTGACACTCTGATCCACACCAGCAGCATTCCAATGATGTAACCCAGTCAGTCTTTTGTCCTCTCAACAGCATGTCTTGGTCTAATTGGAAAACTCAATGTGAAGAGGACACTACTAAACGCATGTTACAGACAATGTTCTGGTTTGTCAACAGCATGGCGTGAGCTGTAACTATAGGGGCTGATCGCCTGTTGGTAGGGGCATTGAGGTTCTTATGGTGTCCCTTTGCCCCTGAGTTTCATCATATATGCTACAATATAAAATTGACTGCAACTGCAAAAGATTGTATTTTTGAAGGACACTGACAGACTTACCATGGTCAATGAGCCAGGCCATGCAAAGAGTGTTGAGTTTTTCATCAAAGAATTCTACTCCCTAAAAAAAAAAAAAACTTCGATTATTCATTTATCTCAAATTTGGTGTTGTAGGGCTGCACGATTTTAGAAAAGAATTTAGAGAAAAAAAATGTCTTGCAAAGAGCCCAGGAGCATTAAAATTTGAGAGCTAAACAAAGTTAAAAATCCCATGTATTTCAGTACATCTTTGTAAAAATGAAAGAGTTGGTTTGCTTTTTATTTCAATAACAAGACATTGTTTACAGAGAGCTTTACATTACCTACATGTCTGGATTGTCTGCAGTCAACTTAAAATACATGTATGATTCAATATATTGTGCAGCCCAAATGTGCATATGCATTTTGCACATAATCACTAGCATAGATTTGAGATTAGGCTGCGTGACTCACCAGTTGTCCAGCCAACAAGGGCATGTACTCTATGATAGCAAGGCGAACCCTCCACTTGGCATCTTCTGCCAGCTCCACAATGGCGGGCAGCAGAGACTGGGAGAGTTGGCGGATGCCAATGACCTCATTCACACAGTCCAGGTTAGAAATGATGTTGAGACGCACCTCGGGACACTGAAAAGGAAAATCATTTGAGCTGCACTGACATAAATAAAGATTTTATTTTGTTTTATTTTTTAACGAAAACCATTATAACTAGATGATAAGCAATAAAAACACCCAAAACTGGGGTATAAAAAACTTTGATACATTAGCTGTTATCTATGTATTAGGCTAACAGCCAAGAAGCTTTAAAATGTCTCGCCTGTTCCACCTAAAACAGAAATGCAGCAGCTACAGTCACAATATTCAGACCTGTGGGGACCAATAAAGCAGGCGTACCTCGTCCTTGAGCTGGGCCAGGAACAGTGGCAGTAAGTGCTCTATTGTGTTGTCTTTGCCCAGTATGGTCGACAGGCCCATTATGACCGAGGCCAGGGCAGACTTCACATGTTGGTTTGTGTCTGAAACAAGCTCCTGATGAGGAACAACAAACTGTTAACACAAGGTCACTGGAACACAATGGAATTTTCCTTTTTCAAAATCAAAAATCAATCAAAATCTCAAAACCACATTTTTGAAAAAAAGATTAGTCTTATATAGTCTTATTATAATACAAACGAAATTGTAGACATTGTTACAGCGTACTTTGACTAAAGATTGTGAAATAATTCAATACAACACCGCCACCTTGTGTTCAAAATGTCATTCACTGAAAATCTGAGGAAGAGAAAACTACTGGAGAAATAATGGAGGGAATTAAGAGCTGGAAAAAGTTGGTTACCTTAACACAGGGCAAGATGTGAGTCATGATGATCTGTTCTCTGTTATCTTCTGGAAGATTCTCACAGAATTCTGTACAATCCAATAAATATGCTTTAATGAACCACTACCCAATTGTATCAATTATATTCTAGCTACAATATGTCACAAAAATATACAACCTAAACTGCGCCATTTTACACAGATTTGTACCTTTGACTTTGTTGGCAGCAGCGGCTCGGACCTCTGCCTCACAATCCTTCAGCAGGTTTTGGAACGCAGGAACCAGGTCATTCTTTGTGATCTCTGGGCCAACTGCTTTCTGGAGCTGAGGACAAAGATTTAAAAAATACATTTTATGGCTATAATAGCATATAGAATATAATGAGTAATGTTCTACTGTTTTTACTCCTGTTGAGAACATATTTGTTGTGTGACACAGTGGCTCAAGGTTGTATTGATTATTGCTCAATAAAGAAATCCATGGGTTTTTGAGTGAATTGACAATTCAAAACAAATTAATACATATTAATATACTTTGAATGCACTTAAGTCCTCAAGATATCACCTATAAAAAGTAAGCTAAAACCCATGTAGAGAGATGTACAGAAATACTGTAGCTTTTTCAGTTGTAATACCAAAATTGATACTATGGTACAAGCAAAATAAGATAGAAGAGTCAAATAAAAACTAAAATAAAAACATTAGAATAAAAACAATAAAACAAAGCTGGCCCATTTTTGGGATTGTGCAAATGTTGTTATGGCACTCCACCAGAACGCTCAGCTCATAACTGGTTGAAGTTCAAATAATTAACTCAATTCCATGAAGGTCCTATGTCTGTGTGCACCTACAAGAAGCCTTTCAGCATTAAATAGGTCAATGTGTCACGTGTACACTAGTGATGCAGGGACCTTCCCCGAGTTATAATCAAAACCCGAGCCACTCAGCCCCAAGAAATTGGTTCAAATGTAGGGACCCGACCAGACACTAACCCGCGCATATTAAAACTAATATATTGTGCACAACTGCAGCTGGCCGTAACATCATAGGATGTAGTGCAGATAAAAGCTAAAGGATAGTCTGGAACTATAACAGCCTGGATCATACAGAAACAAGGAGAATACCTGACGCAGCATGTATGTGCTCTAAATGTCTGCGTCCAAGTAAGCAACATGTCTTTACACCCATACATAAGCCTCTATGATCCGTGACCTGCCCTGTTCACGCTGGAACATCATTTGTGTAATTCCAGTGTATAAATAGAAATCTTTTATAAATACACATTGATGCATCGTGGAAAATATTTTGTCACTTAAAAATTTCGCTTTATTCTTCAGTTTACAAATATAACTTTTGATAAAAAAAGAAAACAGAATTGGCCTCATTGCTGCAACTAAATACCAGTAACAATGTTAAAGACTCCCATGAAATGATTATATCTAAAAGGCCCCATACATAAATATTATAAAGTACCTCGGAGAACTTGTCAGCCACCATGTAACGAACCCTCCAGGACTTGTCTTCAGCAGCCTGACGAAGTGTTGGCATTACCAGAGTCTCCAGGTCCTCCTGAGGCAGCAGAGTGGCAATGCTGACACAAGCCTCCACTGCAAGCAACCGAACAGAGTCCTAATGGACAACAGATCATTATCAGTGTGGGAAGAAGCATAACATAGGGAAAAATCTGAGAGGATTAAAATTATGTAATCATTAAAATATATTGATACCTGCTCATCAGATGCCAGAGCAGTGAAGAGTGAAATTATGTCACTTTTTACATAATCCAACTCCAGAACTTTAGCGAATTCACCTAGTTTAGATGCTGCAGCACGACGCACCATTGGTGTATCATCTGAACATAGGGTTCGAAAATGCCTTAAAACAGACAATAAACATTAGAATACATAATGCCCATGTATTAATATAGTAAATTGCAAACTAGACACTTACTGACGAATCTCAGCTTTTACAGTGCTGGAGACGCGGGGATAACAAACACTAAATAGGCCACAGGCAGATGTGCGAGAAGTGAACCAGTCCCCACTGGCCAGGCGCTTGACCAGAGGCTCAAAGTGAACCTCCAGATCAACTGAAGAGTGTTCCTCGGAGATCTTCCGCAGGGAATCCACTGCTTTGTCTCTCACTACAGTCTCTTCTACTGTTGCTAGGCTTTCCAAAGGAGGCTGAAAAAGACGAAGTAAGTAAAAATTACTAAAAGCACATTATGGCTTTGTAAGCATTGCTGATTGTTCAGTTTTGAACATCATGATTTTCATCCATAACAATTTGTAAGGTAATATTAACAACTGACTCACCAATAGACAGTGGACATACTCTGGACCCCCCACCAGCATGGTGAAGTTACCAAGCTGCTCTGCCAATGCCAAAAGCACCTCATCTTCATCATAGATTGTGTCTAGAAATTAGATATTAAAGGTTATTTTGAGTTGGTGTATGGGGTTTGTGTTGAAAATGTAACATTTAATTCACTGGATAACCTGTGAAAAAAACACTCAACCAAAACCTTTCGAAAAAAGTAGATTCACCTGTGAGGAAGGGAAGGAGTTCCGTACGAGTCCTCTCTACACCAAGGGCAAGAGCAATAGTGGACAGTTTCTTGATACTATTCAGTCGGAGCTGAAATATAAATTGTAATTATTGCATAAATCCATGATCCTTTACATACTTATTTTGACAATTCACAGTATAATATCTACTGTTGGACACAACTGCGCCTTTTACCATCAAGGGCTAGTTAGCATAATCATCGTACGCTTCAATCAACATCGAAAAAATACCTCCAACAAAAGAGAGGAAAAAAAGAAAACAACAACAAACTAACAATATACTAAAAGTGTCTAGGAAAGTAATTATATTCTCATTTCAGCAGAATTGAGAAAATCACTAATAAGGCGCTAACTTAGCTTTAAATGAGCAGCCGGGGACAGGAGGAACGCAACACTGCTGCGTTGATAAAGAAAAGGCACTTTACATGGATGTCACTGACTAGTTACATGTAATACGCCGTAAAATAGCCGTAATAACAGAAAGGTTAAGAACCACGAGGAACTTTCACCAATTGCAATCATCAAAAGAAACACTGATGTTTTCATGGGATGGGCCTGAGGATTTCTTGAGCTTGCTGGGCCTTGAACAGCTAAGGCTAACTGATGCTAGCGAGTTAGCAAACCAGTACACCGTTCGTAGATATGTAAGAATAACAGACCAATGCATAAACAAAACCGTGCCGTTTACCTGTACATCTTCGTTTCGCAGTTCATCAATGAGAACAGCGATAGGATAAAGAGAGTCATCTCCATCGGCTCCTGCCATTTTGGTCAGTGTTGCAGAATGGCGCTGTGTGCGGCGCTAGTGCTACGGGGTTTCTGCGCAGAGAGAAGCGGAGGAAGCGGGCCCTCCCTCTGCAGCTGAAAACGACAGGACATCGCAACAATTACACACAATTAACAGAGGTAATATTTAACAAACAGACATTTAATAAATACTGCTGGAGTGTGAGAGCATAGACATTGATAATTTCATTGAATTATCATGTTATAAATTATTTCCCAGCCATGAATATCTCCGACGTTAACATTTTATTGTGAAAATGAGACTCGGATATGACTTGTGGCTTCCTGTTTTGCATTCATCCTGATCAAGATGGCCTCTCAGCAGCAGCAGCGCTTGGTCCAGCCCGGTGTACAACAGCCCGACTCTCTTCAGCAGCAACAACAACAGCTGAGTCAAGACTTTGACCCTGTCCATAGATTCAAGATGCTCATCCCACAGCTGAAGGAGAGTCTGCAGGTGCGATCTCCATTTAAACCTGGCGTGCCTTGTAAATACGGGTCTATCATGGATTTCTATTGAACATGTTATTATTTCCTCTTCCAGAACCTTATGAAGATTGCATCTCTAAATTTGGCTCATAACACTGCTATCGACAACGGCATGTAAGTCTACTCAACATAAAGAGTAACAGTTGAACTTCCAGCTACATGAAACCAGCTGACTACTTGGAAATTAGCTGAAAAGCTAATACTGGCACATTTACAGAAATGTTTACATTGTAATAATACTTGTTTTTGTGAAATTATATGAGGGTTTTGAAATCTATTTTCTCTAGTGAAAGCAGTGACTCCACGGTTCAACGCTTTGACAAGAGCTTGGAAGAATTTTATGCCCTTTGTGATCAGGTTGAGCTTTGTTTGGTAAGATAATATAAAATATGCATAAATACAATAATTAATTTTCACATATGTACTCGTAAAACATAATAGGCTGTACGCAGCACAGTATGAATAGTCTACCTGTCCTAAATTCAACTGTATTGAATCTTTGTTCTAATTTTCCTTACAGAGGTTGGCGTATGAGTGCCTCTCCCAGTGCCTTGATAGTGCCAAACATTCTCCAAACCTGGTACCGACAGCCACTAAGCCTGACACAGTGCAAACGGAGTCCATGTCCTATGCTCAGTACCTTGGCATGATCAAGTCTCAGATCTCCTGTGCTAAAGACATTCATAACGCTTTGCTAGAGTGCTCTAAAAAGATAGCTGGAAAAGGACAGCCTCAAGGAATGATGTAAATTCATTTCATACTAATTTTTAATAAATTGGCAGTTCCATTGCGGTTTCTTAGCTCAGCTTTTCATAATGTTTTGTATATTTATTCATTTGGAAAGGTGTTATGACCTTAAACGACCAGCTGGTGGCAGTAGAGTTGTAATTACTTATTCTTTCTTTTTGTCTTTGTTTTTATAATAAAACAGAAATAAATACGGGGTCCTGTGCGATTTTGCATGAAAACATGACCAATACATCTGAGAAGAAAGAAAAAAACAACTGCAAAAGAAGCTGCACAGTGACTATAATTGGATTTTATCTACATCTAAATAATATAAAGCGGAAATTGCTTTTGCCATATAGATGAAATCTTTTACATTTACAACGTATGTAAAGTTTTGATTAAAGGTCCTATATTACACGAAAACCTTTCTTGTGACCTTCAAGCCATGTTAAAATATTCATATACCTGGAGCTGTTTTATTTCATTCACGCACGTTTGAGTAATTCTGTTTTATTAGTCTGTGTACATCACCAGAGCTCAAAATGCTATGTTCCATCTTGTGATAACTTGAAAACTACTGCTTCATGACAACAGCTACGTTTGACCTTGTGTTCAGCAGAAATTTCAATTCCAGGGCTAAAATCTTTCTAATTCTGCAATTAAGCCAGATTTCTGATCTGGCATGGGCATATAACAAGGCATGCATACTTGCTGTAAATAATTGTTATCTAGACATCATTTAAATATGTTTTATTATTTCACTGACACACGTTTATTTTGAACATAATGAAAGATAAGTTCAATTAGCTTATTCTTTGGGATTTTGATGAAAAATATGAAAGGCTATCAATAAAAAAGTGGCAATCTAATTTTATAAAGTATACAGTAACAAATTGTTTCAACAAAATTCTGAATTGAATAAAAGTACAAACACACACAAATTGTGCAAGTGATACAACAGGGCCTTCACAAATACTTCATTTGATAAAAAAAAAAAGTAGTAGCAATATAAAAAGTGAAAACTGTATTAGAACAACATAAATCACATTCTTTTCTCGGCCATCCTGTTCATTGGATGGCCACTTGCAGCCCAAGTGTAAGGGGTGCTAATATAGGACACAATATTTATTTTTAACTTGCTTCACAATTGTGCAGATATTATGCATTTAAAGCAAAAGCAATCTATGCTAAGGTTGTAACAAAAAGGTTTAAAACAAAATCTATCTTCTAATCCTTTCTTCTCCTAGGATGCTATTGTAGTAAGAAAGAAAACTGTGGTCAAATATATAGCAGGATAATACACTGTACACTATGAGTAGGTTAAAAGAAAACATAAAGCTGAATATTATGTATGTGCAAGAATGCAGAGCACAATTATAGCCTATTGCTTTGAACACTTTAATAATACAAATCTTCATTGCCGTTTAGAGCCCGGTTCTCTCTTAGTAGCAATTCTGGGTTGTTCTCTGAGGGGAAAAATAGAACATGTCTTTAATATCTTGGTTGTGCACTTGTCTAGAGCAGAGTGTATATTAATTACTGACCTGTGGCCTTGCTCTTGGTTAAATGTTATAGCCACAGACCTATGGCCGTCAGATTTAAATTTAGACACCTTATGCTTAAATTCTTCATCAAATGCCTCTGCTTCAGCTGGTGACAGAAAATAAGTGTTAAGCAATGTCATGAACTCTGATAGCCAGTAATATGACAATGAGAGCAGTGATTTTTTTTTAAGGCATAAACATACACTCATCTAGATTCTCAAAATCCTGGTTGAATTCCTTTTCACCAGTTTTGTTGTTATACTTCTTTTCCATAATGTGACCCCTGTCTTGAATGTGGTGACCAATGGACATCTTTTGTAAACCGCTCTCAGAGTCTTTGATGGATTGACGAGTTTCCTTGATCTAAAGTACAATAAAAGAACAAATATTATAAATCAGATGACAATACAGAAGAACCTAATATGCAGTCCCCATACTGTGATATAATCCAAGAGCTTGAATGGATATTTAGCTTGATCTGATACAATTATCCAAGAACTACACAAATAGAAAGCACCCCAAGAAAAGGTCAGACAGATGCCCTTGTTAAAGCTTACCAAACTCAGATCATATGTCATGTCTTGTTTAATATGGATATTTACTTACCCCTCCAGGAGCACGGAGTGTTGATGAGCTGGCCTGAAAGACCTTGGGCGGCTCATTTCCAACCTTAGAATAAGTCATGACTGATGAAGAGCTGAAAGAGTGGCCATTCTCCTGACAAACACACACAAAAAAACTATTGAGAGCATTCTACCAGCTATATACACCCCAAAAATAAGCCAATTATAGAACACTCACAAAATCCCGGGGCATGTCCACTCTCTTTCTCATATTAGTGATCATATTGTTGACTATGCCAAAAGGGTTCCTCATTAGGTCCTGTACAAATGATGAAAGAAAGAACCAGAGGTCACTGACACCTGCTCACCAAGTGTTCCAGGATCATAAATACCCTCACCAGGTGCGATAACATGCATTTGAAATAACAAATTATATATGAAAGAATAAAATATAAATATTACAAAATGAAACCATGTATGTTAAGCCACTCTTCTTAAAAAGAGGTAAGACCAGAATAAACACAATAATTGCCTAGGATCCAGATAACACACTTCTTCAACATGTAATAAGCGATAAAAACTCTCTTGCAAGGCTAAAAACAATAATTGGCAAAAATGCCATTAACATTAACAAAATAATGCACACATTTAATTAGCAAAAAACATCGAAACATCTAAGAATTTATATAGTAAAGACAAAACATTTAATAAGATAGTGTTCTTCCCCTAAAATAATTTTCCCAAAAAAGAAACTTACAAAATATATTATTCTTTAATAGATCAAGTCATGTGAATTGTACTGACCATGTTGTCAAAGCTGCCGAATGAAAATAATGACCGACTCATGTCCTGGGAACAAACAAACAACAAAAGTTTAGAAACATCTTCACAAACAAACAAACTGCATTTTCTAACCAGTGTCCCTGAACAATAGTCCATGTTTGGTGGTTGCTGGTATACTGTTACTTGATAAAGCCCTTTCTAAACTTGACAATACAGCATGCCCATGTGCCTTGTTCAAGGCCACCATCTGGGTCAGCATACACATGGATGAGTAAAAGAGTGGCATATAATAAGCATATAATTAAAGCCTGTTGAATCCAATCCAGAATTACAGTATTCAAATGCACAGGTGCTCATGACTCCACAACCATCCCAACAACTATGGGAGCGTCTGTCATTTTCAGGGGTATGACACAAGGCAGTGTACGTAACCACTAGGTGTTGAATGACTTGTGCTCCATTTGTAATTGGGTTGCGTTGTCACAGATTAGCAGGACTTTAACTCTGAACTTTATTCTGGGAAGGCTGCAGTGGGCAGTCCTGGGCAGGGCATCGGAGGGGTCACTGAGTCCAAATCTGCTCCCTCAGCTGGTTTTGGGCAAATGCAAAATGCAGTTAAATAAATTCTACCATGTTATATGGCAATGCATGTCAACTGTATCTGAACCACAGAAGCCTAGTAAACATCTGCCATCATTATATTTAGCCTGGTCTAAGCAATGGAGTCAGTGGGGGTGCATGCAAGATTAGACATCAGATTAGACTTCACTCTGAGCTTTTACTTTTTTCTTGTTTCTATGGAAATGTTATTGCTCTGCTTAGAATATTCCACAGTATGACATTAAACAGATCTACCTCACATTTATTCAATTACAGGTGGTTTTATTGCTCAAAAATACCTAAAAAAGCAGGCATTCTGGCTGGGAGCTGTGATCTTTCAACTGATCTGACCTGTAATTTGGCCTGGTTTGGTTTCCATGATGATAGAAAGGTTTAATACCATACTGGGAAACATCCCAGATAAAGCAATAACATTATGCAGAAAAGCAGATGGCAGACCCTCCACCAGAAAAGTTACACAATGCACCTTTAAGTAGCCCCTTGCTATTTCTTCTATTTAGAACTTCTTCAGATTTTGCAGCTTTAACTGGAGCAAAGAAAGGACCACATCTTTACAGAAGAAAGCATTTGTTATGATACAATATAGAACTGATTCAAAGGAATCACAACACAAGCGATGCAATTACGATACAGCACAATACAGGTGTGTGATCAATATTATTTTAGCTTATTTAACACCTTGAAATGTAAAAATACACAGGAAATAATGTCCTTGTATAACAGTATTTTTTTCACTTCATGTGTCATGCATGGTCATCTGGAGACAAAGACTTCACAGATGCAACTAGAATGCTAAATAGATATGTTTAATAGCATGCTGTGGAACATTCTAGCAATCAGCATTCAGGCTCCATGGACACAAGCAGGTTACCTAAATATAAACAAATATTTAAGTAGGTGGCTGCTTTGAAAGGTGATATGGGGCAGGCAGTCACGACTGACAGGACACATGGCAATGTGAGAAGTGGGTTATACAGAACTCACTTTCCCACCGGGAATCTAATACTTGCACAAGCACAGAACATGAGAGAGGACCAGCTTGCATATGCTGTTTGACCTGCCGTGACAGTCTGTATAAAACAGTGCTTGTAAGCAGGTTTTCAAAGCCAGTCTGTGTATGCATACACTGTTTGTGCAGTGATACTGAACAGCAGAGTAAGAGGGACATGTCTGTCATCTTGCTGCTAATGCTTCAGCAGTGCCAAGGCACGTCCTGCCAAACAGATGGACCAACAGAGCAACAATGACAAAACAGAGTCCATGACATCTGCACAAATGCCTTCACAAAGCCAATGCACAGAATGAGAGCCCAGTTTTTTGACCACTGCTGTGCATTAGAGGCTCCTGTGAATATGGCCCAGATTGCGGCACTTAATAGTCAGCATTTTTTGCAACTTGCACTGTTATCAAAGATTTTGGAGTGCCTCTGTGTACTGTATGATTTCAAACCACAAGGTTGAGTGAACTGAAAGACAATGATATATTTACTTTCTAGTAACTACTAATATTAGATAAGCTTTGTATTTCGATGGACATATTGCATTGCAGCTTGAGTGCACACACTGTCACTGAAGTAATATGTCAAACAGCGGTTTCAGCTTGTCCTCAGCTGACTTGAGCCAGCTAATGGCATGATGCTAATTAAGAGGGTTAGGGTTTATTATTACCAAGTACAAATATACAGACCAGCATAATGCCATAACTCAGTCAGTAGCCCAGAAGCAGGCTACTGACTGATTGATTCCCACTGAAGTTCAACTAACACAAAAACACATTTAATTTTCCTCAGTTTAATGGAAAAGATGAATATAAAATCACAAAAGTTTTACTGAGTTTGGTTGCACACATTAACAAAGACCATTTTTGAGTGTTAGAAACCCTAGAAGTGTAGTAGTAGTGTAAGAAACACTGTGTCAGTGGAACAATGTTCTATAAATAGCATTGTCTGAGCTATATCTGCCCAAAGGCCAAGAGGGAGGGATGCCCTTCCTCTTATAATATAGACGTTGTTGACCCATATTGGTGAGTGGTGCTTTGGATAACTATCCGGCGTGGTAATAGCCCATAGATGAAAGATGTTTTAATTCGCCCGGTCTGAGAACTCTAATAGCCTACTATATGAACAATGATACCACCACACAAGAAGTGTTAGCTGATCCTTCTCACCCGTTGGTTTTGTGTAAGTGCTTGGGGTGAGTTTGACAGTTGCGCCATCCTGCCGCTCTGGTCCCTTCCATCCGTCAAACTTGGCAATGGAGACGCATCAAATGGCTCGGAGAAGCTACGCGTAAAGTGCTGCATATGTTCCCTGTGTGCACGGAATGAATCCCTATAAAAGAAAGTTTCAGTGAGCTTGACACAGATTGAAAGTAGGCCCACATAACAGACTATAGACTTATGGAACTGACCAGGGCAAATAATCAACAGCAGACCCGATAGGACATCAATTGCAATACAGATCGAAAATGGGTCAAATTTGAGACAAACGTTATAACAGCATAGCTACCTTTTATGCAAAGCACAACTTACAAATTATGGCTCCATTTTGAGCAGGGCTATTCAAGGACTGGAATTCACAATAACGCTCATTAGCCTATGCGTTTTGAGAAAACGGGAAAATGTTGAGCAGCAACTACAGTAAAATGAACAGAACTAACTTAACCAGTAGGTTAAAATTACTTTTTAGTACACAATCACTGAAAGTTTAATAGATTGCTTACCTAAAAAAAGGATCTTCCTCAAAATCTTTAAATATGCTGTTGAACATGTTTAATCCTTGTTTTTTTCTAAAGTGTCCAGTGTCCTGTGCCCCCTGCGTCTGTGCGCCGTTTGAAGTAGACACTGGTAACATGATTTAAAACTAAACTCACTGTGACACCAACCACGTGACACAGACGGCACACTCTGATTGGCTAGTTATTCGCGTCCTGATCAGTGTTGTGACTGGCTGCTATAGCAACCACATCTCTCGAAAATTTGTGAAACTAAAATAAGCATGTATTTGTAAACAAATGTTACATTTTGAATGTGGGACTACAATACTGATGCTGAAAATGAGTTGGCATTTTGTCCTTTGATTAATGTATTGAAGTCTTTATTTCGAAAAAATAAATATAGGCCTATTTAATTTTTTTTTGGACAATTTAAAGATTCATTAAACTCAACTATTGTACATGTACTCATGCTGTTTTTATTGCCAAAATAGTGGTTTGGTGGTGCTCCTTATCACCATGGAGACTGACCATTTTGTGGAACATTCCAGGCAAAACAAAAGCATATGTCTCTGCGGAGAAAAGATTTCAGATCCACCTAAAAACTTACATAGTGCAGATTTAAAATAGAAAGAATACAAAGGACCTAAATTCCTAAATTCAGGCCTACTAAAAATGCAACATGAAAACAAGAAATATCAGTCTCTGTGGTTTGTTTATTTTACAGAAACCATATTAAATAAAAACATCACAAGCATAAGTCACTAAAAGAGGAACAATGGCATAAAAAGTTTACCTTCACTACATTTTGAAAACTATACACTTCTTTAACTGATAATAATGGAGCTGACAGCATGAGCTGACAGCAGGGTCTTCTGCCAGTAGTTCCTTAAGTGACAGGACTGCCCAATAGTCTTTCCTGTCGTAGGGAGATCAGTCTCTTCATCCACAGTTCCTCCGCTTTGTCTTTGTCCATGAACAGCTGTGAGACAGTCAGACAATAACAGATGAGAAAAACATTTAGCCTAAATTACAAAAATGGAGGGCTGAGAATTTTAAACTGTTTAAAACATTGACTGTGTGGGCTATATGTTGCTTCCCTGATCTAGAGCGTGCACAGTCCCACTTTGCACTTTGCTGCACTTAAATGGTAATGGTATTGATTTGAAGAGGGCTATAAAAGTGCTACTGCTGTAACTGTCTGATGAATGAAGGCATGTGTTCATTACAAAGAAGCATAATGACTTTGAGCAAAATCACAAATGGAGAATAGCAGGATGGTTTCTATATCAACTATGCGAGAGAGGATGTTGACACGCTGACTGTGCGTAAATAACTGTACATCCATGTTATGATATGTGTCTATTATTATGGAGATTGTGGATGGTACAGACTGTGTCAATCCTTCATTTCAGGCAGCGCTGTGTGTATGTGTGTGTTATGTGTAAGATTCGACACCAGTGAGTTCTTGTCTGTCGGCCCATGGCTGGTGTCACGGTGCTAATGAGCCAGTGTGTGTGGGATGACAGTATCTGGGCCGGGCTAATGGGACTCATCTGTTCTAATTGGATGTGGAGCTGGGGCCGGAGCCGCCTGGGGCATATTGCTGCCATACATCAGCTTGTCTCAAAGTGTGCATTTGTGTGCGCAGACTTGAGCTGCGGGGCATTGTGTATATGTGGGTATATGTGAGGGGGTTATCTGCATACATCAGGCCATAACTGAGTTTCCCCACTAGAGATAGATGACTGGAAAGCCCCAGAGAGTGTTATTAGAGTTTAAAGTTTTCCTTCTCATTTTTTATCATTCAACCACTGGGTGAGAGAGAGGTAATCTACGATTGTTATATACACTACTATATTACTTTGGTTGGAAATAATAAAAGTTATAGTGAACAATAAAAATATGTGTAAATCAAAATTATGAATCAATTCAGCTCTAAGTGAGAATGAAATTAACACATTTATATACCAAACATCACAGAGTAAAATCTTACATTAGGATGAGCCAAAGTATCCGTGTCATTGTAGACAGTGGACAGTGGAAAACTGAGTTCCTGAGGACTTGTTTTTTCTTCTTCCTTTTTTACTTCAACCTACAACACACAAATTAACATTTATTACTTACTAGCACATGAGTGCAATGTGACAATGAGCCAGTAGGTGGCAGTAAGTGAATGGAATACTGCTTGTACCCCTTTCATCATGATCTCACATCTTAAACTTAAATGGCGAGAGTACATCTATACTTAACAGTGCTTAAAATAGTGAAGTGATTATTTTGTGTTTCAGTGCACAACTAAAAGCCCCACAAGCCATGATTTCTTCAGGGAAAAATATGATTAAAATATAACAATTGAAAGTGTTTTTTTTTTTTTTAACAATTAAATCTAAGATCGTAGGATTTATCAGGATTAAGTTTGAAATGGACCAACAGATTTAGGCTGTTTTAAACACAGAGCAGGCCTCATCAGTGCAACTGACTGGGTCAGGGCTACCATCTCCAAACTGTAGCCATAAAGGACTCAACCTTTGTCAGACTTATCAAGTTGTGTCCCAGAGGACCCTGTCAGAGATTCCTTCAAAAACAGTCTTGAATCACAGCAAATCAAATTCTTGTTCCTTCAGAGACAGGCGCATTTCAATAATGACTCCTGTGTTTTGTCTGAATCTGCACAAGCTGAGGGGGATGTCCAAGTCTGCTGTGGTCCCCATGTCAGAGACACTGAACTGAGTGTCTGATGAAACCGTCCCAGTTTGAACCAATTGCACAGAATGGGAATTGTTTGATTTGGTCTGGGCCCTGTCTGGACAGAAAGACCAGTATTGCAGAGGGAAATTTAATAAGAGACTGAGTGAAAAGATGGAGAGAGTGAGGGCCAGGCAGAGAAAGAGGGACAAAACGCACCTTTAGTTGGTCCCGGGATGATTTGAAAGCCTGAGGAACAAAAGAATCACTCTCGATGGCTTCAATGTCCTTTATCCTTCGCACTTGCTCCTCTAGAGAAGTTCCCTCTGTAACACATGAAGCACAGATGGAGACCAATGAACAAAAGCTCAAACACACATGTCCAGTAGAGCACACGGGTCAAATAGCCCAGCTCATGTCTGAAAAGCTCCAGATTTCATTTGGACCATTTATCTCTTTTAGTGTAATGGTCTTTGACACATACCATCTAAAATATTTGATATTCTCCTATTTTAATCTTGGCCACCATGAAAAGAACTCATATCTCTATCCAAGGGCAGAGGGTTATAAAAAGCAAGCAAGCAACAAAAACACTAACATCATAATAGCCAGACAGTGAATTACACTGAGATAATGCATTCTAAAATAATCAAAATATGAACACAAACTCATTGCTGTGGAATTTCATTATGGAGTCTAAATGCGATTAGGTTTCATACAGTTTTCATCTATCACAAAGTATTTTGCTCTGGCTTGTCCAATCAAACAAAGAGACAGAAAAGGTTTCTAGTAAATTACTCTTGGATATAAACACATCAGAATTCTGCATATCACATAATAAATCATTTCAAGAATTCAAGAGCAGTTCTTCATAGCGTGGGATGGCAAAAATAGCTGCGCCGGGAAAGTTAGCAACACCAAAAAGACTCTGCCTGAATGCTCCTATTATTCTGTGGCTGTCAATCTCTCCACTGATCAGTCAATATTCATCGTGGCTCCCCCATCCATCCGTCCTTCGCTGCACTCTCCCATCTCAGGATGTGTCAATCCCAAAGACAGCCAGGCGTTTGGCGCTCCAGCGGAGGTAGTCTGTCACGCAAACAGGTACACGTACACATCTTACATTTTACATCTATGACTGTTAAATGACTTCAAACTTTAGGTGTCACTCAGTGGTGCCCTATAGGATACAGGTGACATTGCCGCACATAGCAGATCACAACACTGATAGACAATTAAAATTAAAATAAGCAAGCATTTATTACAAACTTGTGCATAGATTTTCAGGAGAATTTCAAACAAGGTCTAAATTAAGGGAGGTCATTCTGTCAATCAAAGATGGGAAAACAGCACTGTATGAAAGTTATTTAATTATTTTCTACTTAAATAGCACCAGGGGTAATTTGCAGGTAAACTGGTCAAGTAATAATTCAACATGTACATTTGTTTGAAGGAAGCTAGATACACTGTTGAACTGACTAGCTGTTTTCCTCAAATGTATTGATAAATGTTACACAATTTAAATGTCCAAAAACAAATACACACATTGTATAATTATGCAACATAATCTAATACATTTACAGAATGCAGAAACGTGCTTGAGCTGTGCAATTAAAAGTCAATATATAATTCATATCACAAATTCAAAATCAAAATGACCTTTATCCATTCCCAAGGGTTTCTTTTTGTTACCGATATGTAGCAAATGAGGAGCAGTTTCTTTCCCACTTTGTTGTTCTTTGAGGGTAACTGCTATACAAAACCTGTTACTCACTGTATCCTATTAAGCATCACAATTATTAGGCCCATGTCCGTTTTGCTGTGTTCGGCCAGAATCCATTAAGACCTCAGACTTTTTGACAAACACATTACTGGTAGATAAAATGACTCCCATATGCTGTTTGTCAGATGTCAGCGGGAAAAGATATGCATTTCATGAGAAAAATCAAAAATAATGGACTTTGAGAGCGGACTTGGCGAGCTCAGAGACAGGAGAAAATCAATACTCCAGCCGGGGTAAGCGCACTTCTCGGCTTATAGAGGTCAAAGTTGATATTTAATATTGACACATAATCCGGCAAATTAATTTAACAGGGTGATTAGATTGTCACTGTATCAGGAATCCTTCATGGTCAGTGATGAAATGGAGGGCTAAGTGGCAGCTGAGAGATTGTGCGCTGACAAAAAGAATAAACTGTAAATTTAACACTTAAAATTATGAGGTTTGGATTGTGACAGATACTAACTAAACAATCAATATAAGACAAATAAAGCTTGTATCTTCTTAGATCTGAATGGTTATGTGTTTATTTGTATAGAGTGGCAGCCAGAAAAGCCACTTGCCATCTGATTACTGAAATTAGTTGAACAGACAGTGGCGCTGACGAGCCGCTTTCAGTCAATAGGCTTTTGTTCTCTCTTAATAGCTGTTTGTCCAGTCCATTGATTAAGACCAGAAGATGGGCAGGGAAAATCAAACAAGCCAATAGAAACTGATTTCAGCTCATCTCCTTTAGCCCTGTGAAAGATGTGAGCAACCTAGAGGCGTAGTGTTAATCCACCAGGAGAGGGCGCTGTTCAATAACACATGGTGGAGGTTGTGAGCGCTGAGTTTAGCCTTACAAACTTGACTTTGTTCTACAGTTTGTCAATCAAGTGCAGCCGGCCTGAATATACTGCTGCTGATTAATTCCTGTAATTGAGTGCATGAGCGAACCAACTAAATTACCATAGATCGTGCTGTGAAGGGGGAAATAAAGAGAAAAATTACTCCTTTTTTACTCTCAAATTGCAACCGAGTTTTCTGAAAGATGTAACTTCAGGAAATTGTGTTTAGTGACTCTATACATTTTCTCAATTTTAAAAAGTCTCACTGAATTAGAATGTTGAAATTTTAATGACCTCAATAGGCTAATCGAGATAAAAAATGTGTAAAATTTTTTGTATTATTTTATGTACATTTAATGCATATACAACTGGACCATACAATTTGAACTTGCGTATGTAAAATTTCATGACTACTGAAAATTATAATAAAGTATCACCTGTACACTATAATTTGACTTTTAATGTGCAATATTTTTTTTTTATTATGCTATTGCAAAAACAGATCCCTTCAAGCCCACAACTTCCCTTGTCTTCCCTGGTTTCAATAACGCGCCTGTTTCCATGCTGCTGTGCTGCTGCCTCTCCTCGTACTACGTTAAAGATGTGTAATTCAATGCTCAATTTAGGCCCGTCTCAGTGGAGATTTTTTTCCTGCTAATTGATAGAAATTAAGCCATTAATCAAGCCACGAGCCATCATTCAAGCTGGGGAAGATGAATACAAACTTTCATAATAACCACCTTCCCCATTTTAGCCCTCATTAGCATTAATTTTTAATGTAATTATGCTATTCTTTTACGCTGAGCTCATAAATTACTGCTCTTTTGTTGCAGGATGGCCTTGTAAAATCCACAGTAATGCTTTGTAGCCTGATCTTTAAGGCAATTACTGGCTTCTTCACTCTTTTATTCCCCTGCATTTCCAATAACCTGCTCTCTAATGATTTATCTTTGTTGTACCCCACCCTCCGACACCAAGCCCTGCCTTTAGGTTCTTTTTCTGGACTTTGGGCCAAATGAATACTTCTCTGTCCAGCCTGGATGTTCTTTTTATATTCAAGTAAAATAATCTTTGCTATTTGTCTAATTATACTTAATGTTTCAGCACAATGTTATCAATTGTGTGTGTCAAGTTAAAAACAAAAAAAGTATGTGTGATTAGAAAAAAAAAAAAAACATTAGTGAAGTAATACCCAGTAAACTAAGCAAGAAGCAAGAAGTGAAAGTATTGTTAATATAAATTATTTGCTGAATAGGAAAAAAAAAATATTATAGAATCAACTATATATATTTTTTTTCCAGGTGCTCTGATTTGCCCAACTAAATTTTCCAGAGGCTCAATACTGCTAAAGCACTTTACACTGACCATATTTACAGCTGAAAACCTATTACCCACTACCCGTGCAACTACGCCAAGTATTAAAAGTATTACGCCAGCTACTGCAAGACATATTCGTACTTCAAAGTGTACATAAAAAAAGGAAAACCACAGTATTACAATTTCGAACAAAGTGAAAAACGATGATGTTGCAATAAGAATTTGTGAGCCTAGAAAAACGCTTAAAATAAGATACAATATTCTGTAAACCTGAGCCGTTTCTGTTCACTACTTTTCTGTGTAGTGGAATTTCAGCAGTCCTGCCGAGTATACATGACGCCAGACGGCAAACTTGGGTTATTAAAAGGAGTCGGGTGTAAGTCTTAGTTAGGTAATACTTTTAGACCGTATTGATCCTGGGGGGGAGCAAGGAGGGGGCTGACAGGCTCCGATGTTAGCCCTGGAAATGCATCAAGTGGCTAATGAGCAGCTATTAGGCCTATCGATTTGCTGATTTCAATTGATAGCTAGCAGGCCAAAGCAGCACGTCAATATTTGCATAACTAATACCCTGCAGCTTACAGCATTGAAAAATTAGACCGCTATGTGGACGAGGAAAGGAAAAATGGTAAACAGTAAATAAAACACAATGAGTAATAGTGATGAATTACTGACTAAAAAGCTGAGATATATGGAAGTGAGGGCTATGGATAAAAAAGTATAAAAAATATAAATATAAAAAGACAAAATATAATTTCACATAAACATCTTGTAATTAAGGGGTTAAGTCTTTCTATGTTCAACTTTAAGAAATGAAGTTAGTATCCATCTCTACTATGATATACCTAGAATTGAGTCTTCCATCTGTTTTTTGCCTCTCACAGTGGTAACAGTAAAAATGTAAGAAAGATGATAAAAGATTTTTAAAAGCCCAATATATAAAATGATATTCCAGAAGTACAAAAAGCCAAAATATAGCATCAACAGCCTTAAAATGTGATGCTTCTGCACTAGGGTCAACAGGTTGTGTAAAAAGGGGGAAATTGTGATGGGCTGAGCCAGATGTCCCAAGTGCGTCCCAAAGGAGCGTGTGTGCTTGTATAGAGGTTAGTCCTGGAGCTAGAGACGACCAATGGCAGAGCAGGTGGCTAAGCTAGACTAAAGTGTGTTCCCAAGAGACCACACGCAATATATAAACAGCACTCATTACTAAGCCCCCTCCCAATTCAAAGAGCCATGTGTCCATGAAGCAATGTCCAATAGTAGAATGCGTACACAAAACATGTCCTCACCATGTCAGTTGTCATTATATATCACGCTGACCCAAAGTGTTTCATTAAATGTATAGCTATATTGACTTATAGCACTGAGAATAATTTGAACTGGGATATCTATTTGGTAT